CCCATGGCTGTGCCAGCTCCTGCTGCTCTGCCAGCAGCACCGAAATCCCTGCAGAACTCCAGGAAATGCCAAAAACTCCCCAAAACTGCTCCCAGCAGGGCTGTTCCTGGAAAACATCTCTGTGTGCAGCAGGGACAAGGGCAGCTGAGCTTCTGGGGGAAAAGTGGTCAGCTCAAGAAGGAAGAGAACGGATTGAGACTATGAAGGGAATATTTTATTACTTATAACACTTCATTCAGCTAAATCCACATAGCAATACACAGAAACTCTTCAGAAAAGTGCAAATTGTCACTCTGTATTTGTAATATGCCCTAGTTTTACAGAACAGACATGGGGGAAACAGGAGCACAGATCCAGAACTCGCCAAGATTCCAGGCAAGGAGGATGATGAGACACTTGAACCACCTCGAACAAAGCCACTCTTGAGCCAAGGGAATGGAGCTGGACTGCAACCCCAGCTGGCACCATGCAAGGAGCCCCCTCTCAGGGAGAGAAGAGGACAAAAAGGAGGAGGGAAGACAAAACAAAGTGGTAAAAGTATCAGGTTTAAAATCTGAGAGCATCCAGGTGCCTCCTGGAGCTGCAGGAGACATGGACAGCACTGGAACCATCTGATCACACCCTGCAGGCTCCAAACCACCAGAGTAAGAAATGCAGCCACAAGCTCTGCCTAGAGACATCCAGCCTTGCCTGGCAAGGCCTGAACTTGGAAAACTCCTGCCCCAGGCCCGTGGAAACACGGTTTTACCAGAGATTAAACCTGTCTCAGCACAACCAAACCCTCTGGATTTTATCAAACACTGAACCCAACTCGCTGGCTGCAGGACTGCACTTTCAGCCAATGTCCAACCTTTGAAAAAATGTGTTTTACCTGGAAGCACCTTGGAAACAAAATCCACAGATCTGTGATCTGCTTTCTGCTCCAGTTCAAAAAGCCTTTGTTCTTATCTGAGAAGTGGGACAGAAGAGCTGACAACTCAAGGAAAGCTGTGCACAACCCAAGTAAACTCTAACACAATGCATAACAAAGTTACAGGGCAAGGAAATGAGAATTCCAATCCTTCACAGTAACAGAAGTAGGGGATGCGAGATCAGAGGGAGGAGAAAAAGGAGTTCCACAAATGGAACAGTATAAATATATCAAACAGTCCAGTACAGTAGGAAAACAACAGTAGCAGCAGATTCCAAACAGCAAATAGTAATTTACCCTGAAAGAACATTCAACACGTTGTGCTGCTGCTGCCATCCCAAAAGCATCACTGCAGCTGCACTCACTGCCAAACCATCCATGGGAAATCAGACACACAACAGCCTTTTCTCCTTTAATCCAATATATTCACACCAGGAGCAGTTACCAGCTTCTCCCAATGCTCATTTGCAGACATTTTCTGCATTTCCAGCACCTGTCAGTGACACAGAGCAGATCTCAGGGAAGCTGCAGATCTCTGCTCCTCCTGTCAGGAGCACAAACATCACTCAGGTGACTGCTGCAATAACACACAGCTTTTTACAGTGCTTGTTCAAAGTTATGTCCCAACTCATTTGTTCTCTTCTCTACTACTTGGAGAGCACATCCTCAGTGCCTCAGGGTTCAATCTGCTGCCAGTGGAAGGAATGGCAGGAGCTCCTTCAAGTTCAGTGCAGTGGGGAGCCAGATCTGCACTGTTTTGGGAAAGCTGAAGGCAAAGCAGCATCAGAAATGCCTTCCCAGCCCTACCCAACACAAAAACAACAAAAGCATCCTCTGAGGGGAACTGCTGTTACCTATTTCCCCACCATGTCAGTCAAATGTACAGTCAAGGTAAAAAAAAAATGCTTTTGGCATTAGATACATTTCACTCCATGGCAGAACGATTTGGAGAGAATTCATCTTAAAATAAAAAAAATAAATAAATAGCAGTGACAGGTCAGAATGTGTGCAACACAGACCTTCTCTAGTACATGTACATTCATAGACACTGAAATACTTCTCCATGGATATAGTGCAAAGCTGCTGGCAGCAGCAAACACCCAAACCTCAGGGCTCTKTGAAGCCATGGAGAGGCAACCTAGACACAAAGCTACCCTGTGCCATCCTGGGGCATCCAGCTGGGAGGAGGAATTTGGAAAGGCAACAACAGTGGCAAAACAACACCTTGAACTCCAGAGATCCTTGGGTTCTTCTCCCACCATCTCCAACAGACAAAACCCAGCACAAAACTGCTGCTGGTTCTCTTTACTTCCAATCAGTGACACCAGGAGCTGTCCAGAGCCAGCTTTCCTGTGCCAAAACATGGTCTTTATTTCCCAAAATCCCATACAACCACAAGGAGAAGTTGGGTATTAATTTGCTTGTTGATTCTGTTTGTTTTTTTTTTTTTAATTTGATTAGCAGTCTCACTTGCTCCTTCAGCAAAGGGAGAAAACAGATGAGATGTTGTTGAAAATCTGCCCTTAAAGATAATAAATAATAGTATTTGCAAAGTGCTATTCTAACAGAAATTACCTGACAAGGCATGAAAACAAAGACCCCACAATTTAGTAACTGTATCAGTGTCTCACCTCCAAATTCTTCCTTGTTTGGTTTTGGTTTTTTATACAGACAATAATAAATTCAGGCAGCAAAACCCAGGAAGTCACTGCCTGGCATTTTCATTCAAAGCAACTGAATACAGAAAACCAAGAAAGCTGAAGACCCTTCAGAGATGTGGGATMAAAAGCAGCTACAGAATGTAGTCAGAATGGCAATTCTGCCAGGAAGGACCAAATTCCTGCTCCTCTGGAAGTCTGGAAAGCTCCAGACAGTTCCACCCAAACTGCAGCTGTGCCATTCCTGTTTCACTGCCAGGTACTGCAAGATGCACACAGGAAAGCTACAGCACACCAACAACACCCTTACCAACAGAAGAACTATGAAAGAGCTGAAAAATGTCAACAATTTGCCTAAACAAGMAGTGCTGAGCTCTGCTTCGATGTTTTTGGAAGGGCAGAGCTGTGCTGAAGGTCTCAGAGCTGCAGGAAGAAGCAGCCTTTGCTGTCAGTTTGGAGTGATCACTCCTTTAAAACTTCAGAATTTTCACACACAAAAGAGGTGTTTGAGGTACCCAAAGTGAGTTTAAGACAAGGTGCAGCAGCCAAGCTCAGCTGCCTCACAGGTACAAGGGCAATAGCTGCATTGGTGTGGCTTAATCAGATTTCTGGTCAAAAGGATGGAAAATATAACAATAAATCCCACCCTTTGCTCAGACCTCCTCTCCTCACCCCAGTTTGGTGACAAAGCCTGACAAAAGAATGCTTCTTCTTTACAGGACAAGGATGCAGCTGCTGAAAACACACACACACACACACACACA